GCGGTGACGGCGCCGCTCCCGTGTCACGTGGTGCAGGCCCCGCCCCCGGCGCCCCGCGGCCCGTTCCGGTCACGTGCTCGCCCCGCCCGCCCCATGGCCCCGGCGGCGGCCGCGGCCCGACCCCCGTAGCGCCGCTGCCGCCCGGAGCAGCCCCGGCACCGCCCGCACGGTAAGAGCCGCCGCCGCGGGGCGAAGGGGAACGCGGCGGCCGGGGGGAAGGCGGTACCTGATCCGCCTCCCGGCCGCGCCACCCCGGCTCCTCCGAGTCCGTCCCCGGGGGCGGCGGGGCCGCGCCGCGGTGGTGCCGCGGCGGCCTTTGGCCTCCCGCGCTTCGTCCGTGCCCGGCGAGCGTGTGGCGGGGCCGCGGCTGCCGTGAGGGGAGGAACGAGCGGGGCGGCGGCGCGGCCGGTGTGCGCTCCCCGGGGCCGGGGGTCGGCGGGGAGGTGGCAGCGCCGCGGCAGCCGCGGCACCGCGGGCACCGGGCTTTGCCCCGGGACTTGGCCCCGGGGGCGGGCGGCGCACAGAGAGATGCCTTGGCCGGTTGCCGGGGCACCGGGGCCAGGCAGCCCCCAGCGGGGCCATGCGGGTGCCCGTGTCTCTCTCGTCTCGGGCTGACATCCCACCTGGAGCGTGGGGATGCGGGTCGGGTAAGACCGGCCTGGCCCTTAGGCGGGCTCACGACCGCGGTTCCCCCCGCCATGACCGGGACAAGCGGCACTGCTGACATCCCCTGTCCAGCTGGGCTGTGTCCCGCTGACAGGGCCCTGCTGCCCCTCGGGTGCTGCTGAGCTGCTCTCGGCCCCGCACAGAGGCCCCTGGGCTGTCCCCGGGCCCGGCTGCATTCATCCATCCCTGCCTGTGTCAGGCTGTGCCATTGGTGCAGATATTCCATGATTCTGCGGTTCCCTATGGGGAGCAGAAACCCAGCAGCAAGGTTTGCATCAGATCTGCCAGAGCTCACCTGTCAGCCCATGCCCACCCTGAGCAAGTCAGGGTTATTAAAATGTGTAAACATTTCCTTTATCTTTGTTCAGAACTCAGCAAAACCACATGGGAAGAGACTGCAGTGAAATGCTGGTAATGGAGAGCGTTCAGAACAGGTGTTGTAAAGAACAGAGATGAGAGGTACCTAGTTGTAAAAGTGGTTAGGAAGAGTCACTCTGATAGAGGAAGGATAGCTATTGGAATTTGACAGTATTTCTAGGAGCTCTGTTTGCTCCCACAGAGCTAAGAGGGGAAGGCTTATAGGTGGGTAAGCAAACAGAACCTTTTTTTTCAGTCTGTGCCAACACTAAGCTTCCTGATACACTTTGCCAATTGTAAACTGCAACTAATGTCCTCAAGACAGGCTTGATGATGAGCCACACCTCATGGGTTAGGGCTGCTGATTGATCCAAGTGCTTTTAGAACCATTGACCATCAGTTGAAAAGGTCTGCTGCTGAAGAATTTAAAATAACCTGTCTGACCTCTCTATTCTGGAAGGTACTTGAACCAGAGAAAGGTCTGTCTGTAATGCTGCAGCAGATTAAAATTATCACTTCAAGCTGTTAAATAACAGCATTTCTCTGCACGCATGTTGCAGTCCTTGCCCCTCTGAGCAGCAGTGTCATCATCCGCAGTACTGATTCCTGGAAACCTGAGTTGATAAATGTAGAGGTTATGAGATTTGGGCAGGCACAAGTAGAGCATTGATGGCTCTCACCCCGCTGCATAGTAAGCCTTATATGTCCAAAAAAAAAAAAAAGGAAAATGAGTTGTGCACTGTGTGTGCTTAGCGAGGACGTAGCCTTCCCTGTAGGAGACCATTCTCATGCAAGATTTCTATTTTAGAATTTAGTACTTCTTGTAACAAGAAGCCATTTTGTTTTCATTAGTGACAGACGGTAACCTTCCTAAATCCTGCTTATTAATAGGGGTTTTTTTGTTCTTTCTGATGTACTGTTCAAAAGACAGCTCGGGGTTTTCTCCATTTTGGGTAATGCTTGCTGTGCTCAGGAGTTGTATCATCCCACTTCCACTGTAAATGACTGCAGGAAAAAGAAAGCACAGCAAAGATAGAAAGAACAGCAGTGAGCCAGCATGCTCACCCTCCGAGAAGGTGGAATGAGCCAGTTGTGGGATAATTGTGTGCTCACAGATTGCACACTGTGGGGTACTGTGCTAGAATGGCTGTAAAGGAGAAGTTGGTAGCTGCTGATCCTTTGCTTCTGTAGTTGAAAGACTGGTTGTAGGTGGGTGAAATGGCATGGTTAGGAAAGCAAAGCAACTGGCATCAGAATGAGCCTGACTATGAAAACGCTTTCCTATTGCTTGCTGTTCAGTGCAGGTTTAATTCCTTTTGCATTCTGTGGCTTTGGCTCCACTGCATTGGATAATAATGACCTTTAAGGGACTGTAAAGTAACAAAGGGAGAAAAATGTCAAAATCCCTAGTCTTGCAAATGTTGAGGTGTCCAGTCTCTTAGAGTCTGTGGCCAGATACCCTTTTCCAGTAAGGATAAGATGCAGATGAGAGACTGCAGACCTGCAACAGGAAACTACACAAAAGGGTTGTGTGAATAGCACTGAAAGGGAATAATGCTGCTGGGGAGACTGTAATGGATAATGCTACGGAACACTCCTGAAATCATGCCATGCAGTTTTCTTTGAGAAAGAAGTATTAGCAGGACTGCTCTGAATGTGGCACAGCGCGTTCTAGTGACTGCTGCAGTGGTGCTGATGTGAAACCCCACAATGAGCTCAGCATCACTGAACCCTTTGGCAAAGCTTTGGATGGCTGGAATGGTGAAGGAGTAAAGCTTAAGTGCAGAGCCCTTTTGCCATGAAGTCTTTCCATTCAGTATTTTACATAAATCATTGGGATGTCAGCTTGTAAGACTTCTGCTGAAGAGAATGCTACTGTCCAGATTGTCAGAGTAAAATATCCCAGCTTGCTGCTGGCATTTTTTTTAAAGACAATTAGAAGCATGTGAACTTAAATGCTTAGAATTATCATTTTGTGATATCTACTAGTAGTGTGATAGCTGATGCAGGTTGCAATCTCAAGTTTGTTGTGGGCCCCAGCAAATACTACAGGTATTCTAAAACACATGAAACATGCATATCAGCATTGGCAAATACTACTTTGCATATCAGTAGTAAAGTATGTGATACACAAAATACAGCAATTGGACATAGTAAACATTTTCAGCAAACTTACCAAAGATGTAAGTTTTTGATAGGTGTACAACAGTATGTTGACAGAGTACAGTTATACTTGCAGTGTCCTTAACCTCCTGAGAAATTTAAGGCTGTAGGGTGAACCTGGAGAGAGCAGTGATAGTGACTGCTGGGGAGAACAACGCAGCAAGTATCAAAAAGCTTGTGAAAAATTATCATTGTGCTGTAGTATTTATAACATTAGTCCCTCAGACTTTGGGGGAGAGGGATAGGAAACTAGCCAGCTGCAATCAAATGTGCAAAACCTTGTCCAAGCCTTGGGCAAAACCCACCACAATAAGAACAGCAGTGTCACTGGGCTGCCTGGTCTTTAGCACAGCGACCTGAAAATCCATGATTTTTCACATCCCTTGTATCTTTCCACGTTCTGAAATGACTTAGCATCTGCCATTCCCATTGAAGAAAGGAATTGCTGCCAATACCAGAAGAGATTTGGAATTTATGAATTTGCTTAGCTTCAATATTCTTCTGAACTTGAAAAACCAGTAAAGGAACATTAAACCAGGAAAATTGAGTTATCAGTTTAAATGTAAGATTCATGGGCCTTTTATTGGAGCAAAAGCAGTATCGGCATATAATTGCATACATTATTTAGTTAGCTGGGAGTATTTTGTTTGAATAAATTTGCTGATTGTACTGACAGAGGGAAGCATGTTTATCTGAAACGTTTCCAAAATTTGAATGCATGAACAAGTAAATGTGGACTGTAATACTTCAACATGCATAGGAGTAGTGAAAGACTTACAGTAAAAATAATTATAAATAATCAGCTCAACTATATGTTTTTAATAGCTCATTGCAGCCACAATGGCAACATCATCTGAAGAAGTGTTACTGATTGTAAAGAAGGTACGTCAGAAGAAGCAGGATGGAGCTCTGTACCTCATGGCTGAACGGATAGCATGGGCACCTGAAGGCAAAGACCGCTTCACAGTCAGCCATATGTATGCAGACATAAAATGTAAGTCAACACTTCCCCTGTTCCAGCTTCAGTAAGCAGGATTTTGACAAATATTTAAAGGTAACCCAAAGCTCCTATGCCATATGGCACTAGATATAGGTGAGGAAGGTTGCAGAGTAGCTTTGACCGGGCTACTCTGTGAAGCAGCAGAGATCAGGACTATGGTGAAGTATCACCAGTCTAAGGATGCTACTGCAGAACTTCTGTAGTTTTCAGATGTTTAACTTATACTCCATTTAATATTAACTTTTGATAGACTTCTGCAATAAATTGAACAGAAAAATAATCTATGCCATATGCTTGTGGAGGGAAGGGTGGGAGGAGGGTTGAGGAAGCGTATAGGATTTTCAGAGTCTTAACACAGAAAGTATCTGGCATGTCATCTGTTAAACTCAGCATCTAAAGCTGTTTCAATTTTCATATAAAATGAACTCTCAGTTTTATTTTCATCCAGCAGACCATAGCTTCAGAAGTGTCAGCTTCTGTCGTTTGGCCTAGCTAGTAACATTCTGAATAAGCATTTGCTGTTGCAATAGCAGAGTACTTGCAAGTCAAAACTAAACAGTAAATGTCTATAGCATGCTGCCTTTTTGGCTCCAATTAGTTCTCATATTTCATGTGCTGTAATGCCAAAGAAGGAATAAAAAGTAAGTTGTGTGCGTCACTTGGTGGTTTAGTGATTATTGCTGTTTAAAGTCACATCAGAGTACTGCAACATGATCAAAAATGTGTGATGAATCAGAACTAAGATGCTGTTTTCTTAAATATGAATGTAATAAGGAGTTTAAAAACCCTGTTCACCTATAATAATCAACTTTGCAAAGGTTTTATTTAGCTATTAACTTACACTTAAGCAGCTTATATTTTAAATACTTACATGTATAGGCACTGAAGTATTTTTAACTTAGATGAAAGATGCTCTTTTTGTCATCTAAAATAAAAAAAAAGGTGGAACGTATTTGTAAATTTGTAATAGAGAAGATGATTTAGTGTTGACATCTGGTTCCTGTCTCCCACTTGCACTGGAGAAAGGGATAATATTAAAAGTTAGGTTAGTGCCATTTGCAGAGCTACACTGAAGTCAGTATAGCATAAGAGTCTATAAGCATAGCTGTCCCAGCCTCTGCTCCCTCTGGTTATGAGGATGGAAGCAGGAATTAGGTTTTTCTTATGAGTCATGAGGGTGTAGTAGTACCTTGGAGGCACTGATGATCAGCTTGGGAAATACTAGTGGCTAACTGCACTTACCTCACCTCTGGAAACTGGGATCCAGGCATGCTGCTACTCACCCTGTCTCTGCTTTCCTACCACTGTCCTTCTGTGGGAGCTGGTCCAGCTGGAAAAACAAAAGGGGGTACTTTTCAGTGTATCAGTTCCTTGGTTCAGCTTGCTACACAAACACAGCCATACAAGAAAGGCAGCAGGAAGAAGTGGAAAGGGGGAATGAGGTTGTCATCTTTCAGCAGCAGTCTGGATTGGCTCCAGGTCGAGGTGTCCAGGTGATGACAGTTGCATTTGTGGCAGATTACTAATGGAGGTTGTGGGGAATGCAAAGATGAATCAGGGCTCCTGGGCAGGAACTGAAGGATACTGAGCAACAAGCTGCTGGTGTCTGTGTCTTGTGTTTTACCGTGAACAAGATGCAGGGTTCAAACTAATTCAGGGGGAAGACTGACTGTTCCACTTTCATGGCTGGAATTCACATGCAGGATAATGGTATTTAATTGGATGATGAGGATAACTGCTTATAAGCAAATACTCTAGGGAAGACAGTTTCTTGTATAAGCTTACTGTCTGTCTCTCTGCAATGTAGGCCAGAAAATCAGTCCAGAAGGCAAAGCAAAAATTCAGCTTCAGCTGGTATTGCATGCAGGGGACACGACCAACTTCCACTTCTCCAATGAAAGCACAGCAGTGAAGGAGCGAGATGCAGTAAAGGATCTTCTTCAACAACTGTTGCCTAAGTTCAAAAGGAAAGCTAATAAAGAACTTGAGGAGAAGAACAGGTAAAGGGAAAGGAACCTAAACTTTGTTGGATTTTTTTTCTTCTAATTGTTAGCTAACTATCATGTATTTCTGTTAACAGTTGTTGTTTCAACATCATAAGTGATACAGCATTTGTTTCCCTAGTAAAAATCTCCCTGCTTTAAATTTAGAGGCAGTTCCTTGGACTTGCGTAACTGTCACATGTTGAGACTATACTTGTATTCTTAGTGACACGTTCTTGAGGTGTAAATGCAGCCAATCTGCTTTTTTTCTTTTTTTCAAAAGGCCAAGAAAACAACCAAACTGCAAGCCCCCTAAAAAAAAAAGGAACAAGTAAAAAAACCGCCTGAAAAAATTTTTTTTTCCTTTTCCAGAAGTTTTCTGGAGCTTTGTGATTTTTTTTTTCCTCCCTGTATAGCCTCTTCCCCCTCAAATCTTCTTTTCTGATGTTTTATAGACTTCTAAATTGTTAAGTATTTTCATGTCTCTCACTTGAGATGCAGAATGTAATTTGGCATACAGGATGTTTATTCTAAAAAATGTTTTGAGATGATGTTGAGGATCTACGTCCTTTTCCCGAAAGGGCTAAGATACATTTCCGTTCCTTTAAACTGTTTGTGTTTAACCAGTCCTTGTGGCCATAGGGCTCCCTTCTCTGAACTCCTCAAATGAGTTTCACCTCATTCTAGTGTCTGCTGTGAATCCTGTACCTACAAGCTTCCATTTCCAAAGACTGTTCTAGCTTTGAACTTAGATAAGTTAAAGCTAGATTTTTCAAAAACATGGGAGCATTGCCTCATGGGGCAGATTGGATCTTTAAAGGGAGAATTCCCAGCAGAAGGACCAGAGCCCTAGTGCTGGAGCCGTGACACATCCAGGATTAACTGGTTCCAGTACTGCAGCAACCACTAGGGTCTGCAGCAGAGCAGCCTGCTTTGGCACTATTCCCATACTCGTTTCTTTATGCTACGTGCCTCATTTCTAACAGTACTGGTATTTAGAACATGGGCAGTCTGAGCCCTGAATCCTTGGATCCTTAAATGGAGTTTTACGGCATCACACCATGAGGCATCAGGAGCTTTTCTAGTTACTGAAAAGCCAGAAGCTCTGCACATACTCAGCCATAGTGTGTCCTCTTGAGGATTAGAAATCCAAGTCTAGTGAAGGGGCTTCATTAGCTTAATTTGCAACAGATAAGGCAAAAAAGTTTCAACCTGGAAGGATACTGCATCTAGAGTCTCTGCAGCACTGCCTTCATTTGTTGATATGTGGGAGTTGGGTATGTACCAAAATTCCAAGCTGTAATGAAATAATTAGAATAACAGACTGCTTTGTGCTGCACTAATTTGTAAGAATTGCCACTAATCCATATCTGTACCAACAAGAAAAAACTGGAGAAACCTTAGTGGTTAAAACATAATAGGGATGTGCTGCCACAAAGCTTTCACTTCCACCTCGTCCTACTTCATCCTTGCAGCAGCTACAGACTTTCATTCTGTCCAGATAGCACTTTATCCATATTCTTCCCTAGACCATGTACTATGTATTCATAAGATTTCTGATTTTTTTTTTGTTATTTGCAATTGATCAAGACCCTGAGGTACATGTTAAAGATTGGTGAGGTTATTGGCTGATTCCCTAAAAATAGCCCAGTGGGTTTCATATAAGGTACACAGCTGTATGCAAAGCTGCTTAAATGTGATTTTTCTGAAGATTCTAATGCATATACAGTCTTTGCATTTTGGGTAGTAAGGGTGATACTTGATATTTGGATGATAACTTTTGTAAACATTGCACCCTGGTGGAAGTAGTGACACTGACTGTGTCTGTAGCACTTGTGCTGCGTGTGATAGTTCAGTGATGAAGATCCTGCTGTCACCTCAGAAACATAAATGAACAAACAACTCAGATTAATGTGTGTTTCAAGGTATCTTATTCCATGCATATTTTGTAATCTATACTCTTGCACTTAAACAGAGATATGTAACTACTGAATTTTAAGATCTTAAACCAAGAATTGGACAGTGCTGAAATCTTTTTTTCCATCCATCATACTTTTCTTATGGAAGATCAAGAAAATTCCTTGTGCTTTTACAGTTCAGGAGACTCAGTCCTGGATGTGCAAAGACACAAGAGCATCAGGATATTTAGGACAAGACGTTAATCCCACGTTAACTTTTTCTTAGGCATTACTGTTTTCTAACATTCAGTGCTATTCCTTAAACATTTTTTTAGTCCTTTCATAAGTCTTTTGAGACAAGTGCTGCTATTGAGGTTGGTTGTTTACACAGTCTTGTTAAGAAATGCACAGCGTTTTGAAAGAGAAGTTGGTTTCTGTTCCTTTTGTGGACTCATGTTAGTTGTGGAAATAGCAGTGGTTTATTCTGCAGCGTTTCAATTCTATTCAATACATTCTTTTACCAGAATGCTGCAAGAAGATCCTGTTTTGTTTCAGCTCTATAAAGACCTTGTTGTGAGCCAAGTAATCAGTGCTGAAGAATTCTGGGCCAACCGTTTAAGCCTGAATGCAGGGGATAATTCTGCAGCACCTAGTAAGCAGGATGTGGGCATCTCTGCAGCATTCCTGGTACGTTGAACCTCTAACTTAAAGGATTTTAGAGCAAACAAATTTGGGAAAGTGAGGGTTCTGCTTATGTACTTTATTCCCATACACCTCAGTGTTGTTCTTTCCGGGTTCCACAGCCTAACATCTCTCTGCATAATAGGCTATTGCAAGTGTAAAGGAGAAAAAAAAAAAAGTAAAAGTTTTATGCAAATCTGCAACCTCAAAATTTTGTCAGTTTAAGATGCCCAGTTTGACCTTTAAATTGCCTGTAGGCAGATGTTGTTTGTGCTGCTGCTCTGCCTTCCATGAAACAGGAGTATTGTTTCATATAGAGTCACTAGATTACAGTGTATTAGCTCAATAAATTAGAAAGTGTATCTGTAGCAGCATTGACATGCATAAATGAACGTTTCTGCCCGAGGGTTTTATTCCCTCCCCAATTTTTTAAACTGGTACATGCTTTCAGCTACTTGAAGAACAACTTGTATATCTGAAAGCTCATTTTCTCTCCTCTTTCCCTAACCATCAGTTATTTTACTCATTTGTAGAAGCCATGCTTCAGTAATCCCAGTGCAGTTTAAAAGTAATCTACGTACAACTTCAGATTCCTCCCTCAGAGACATGTTTCTACTTCTGCAACACAATTCATTGATATGAATCTTTAGCTGGAATCCCACTTCCACCTTTGTAATGCACACAGTGGGTTTAAGAGGGAAAGAGGAGGTAGGAGTTGTTTTACACTTCAGCTGCTGTACAAACATTTGTGTTTCTCCCTCTGGAAATACCTGAATCAGTTACCAAACGAATTTGATTGCTCTGATTTCCTGTCTCCCGTTACTTTTACGCCTTAACATCAATTAAAAAAAAAATCACAACCAAAAAAAAACCACCAAACCTTCAAAACTGAATCTTTTGTAAAATAACTGGTTGTTTTTATGTTGTCTGCATTTGTGAAGAAGAAAACTTAAGATATTTGTGTGTCCTAGTTCAAGTTAAAGTATCTATCTGGCTCTGCTCAGAATGAGTGTTTCCCTAGGAAGAAGAGGGACTTTAGGTGCACAGGAAAAGGAGGAAAAGGTGGCAGCATGTGCAATCATGTACTTTTCCTGTTACTCATAATTGGACGGAGCACTTGCTTGCTCCAGAGCTTCCTAAAGAGGTCATTGAGATCTAAGTTGAAAGTTCTGACTAATGCTAACTCTGCATTTTTAAATTCAGTGTTATTTATCAACTACACTAAAATGCTTGTAATATATAAGGAAATAAGGTGTAAGAGCCATATATCCTTTTTTGTCACATCATTATTGTTGCTGACTATTCACTGAATTGTTGAGTGAACAATAACAGATGAGGCATATACAGTAAAGATACCTATTTTTACTTTAGAACGAAGATATGTTAAATTAAGCACACCTTCTTTTGACCAGTGGAGTTCTCTTTGCTTTCTAAAGCCTGCAGTCTACTTGTTGAATTTTCCTTTAAGTGGCAAGTATAATAAAGTAATAAATGCATGCTCTTTCATTTCTCATTCTAAAATACCTATTACGATCAAATACATTATGGATTATTGGAGGAAGAAGATTATTTTCTCTGCAGCAGAGCTTGTTTGCAAGATGTCAGCTTTTTTTCCTTTTCCAGTTACAGAAGGCATCCAGACATGACTGGGTTTTTTTTCCCTCTGTGTTTTTTCTTAGGCTGATGTACGGCCTCAGACAGATGGCTGCAATGGTCTGAGGTACAATTTGACTTCAGATATTATTGAGTCCATATTTCGAACATACCCTGCAGGTAAGAACTATACCAAACACATGCATTTAAGAATTGGGGTTTTACTGTCTTATTAGGGAAAGACTAAATGTTAGTCTGCACCTGGAAGTATAAGGGACCATATTTTCAGTCTTCTGGATGATTTTTCCTGCCTTGTTAGAGGGATGGGAAGAAGCATATTCATATGTTTCTGAAAATGACTGGTACTCTGGCAAATCAGACTTCTCGTGTGTGGGCAATTCAGGAGTGTTCAGGCCACTGTTTATGTGCATTTCTTTTCAAAGCATCAGCAAGCATTGCAGGGCATAAAGGAGTACCTGTTGCTCATGCCTAACTACTGCAGTCCCTTCCATTTAACGGGCATGAATAGAGGCAGCATTACCCAGAGAGAAGGCAAGCCAGCAAGGAAATGTTAACATAAAATGGTGTATAAACTTTTGTGGAACAGTTTGTAATTGTTCTTGGTTTTGTTCACAGTAAAAATGAAATACGCAGAAAATGTTCCACACAACATGACTGAGAGGGAATTCTGGACACGATTTTTTCAGTCTCATTATTTTCATCGGGACAGGCTCAATACAGGCTCAAAAGACCTCTTTGCAGAATGTGCCAAACTGGATGAAAAAGGTGAGCTGTTTGTTTCTGCAGTAGCTGCTACACTCATGGAGCACAGCACTGGAGAGGTGCATCTAGTAAACCTACCAACGCTGAGGTCAACAGTTTCCTTGTGTTCATAGACATCCTCTTTGGTGAACTGGAAAGTGAAAGCCATTGCAAGTTAGCTACAGCTTTGCTATTCTGAGCATGTTTCATAGTGAGGGCATTTCTTGAAACAAATTACCCTTTGGAAAGTGGCAGCACTAGAAATAAGCTATATTACAACTTATACAATAGTAAAGTCAGTGGTAAATTCCATAATTTGCCATCCTAGTAGATTGATTATGCTGTAGCATCAGTTACTATGGAATAATTTTGTGTACATAGGCTTTGTTTTGTGGTATGTGCACAATTTACGACAGGTACAGCTTTTTGTTATAGATGGGGATTTAGTAAACAAGATCTGTATTTGTCCAGATTGTCCAGAGGAGTTGCCATCCCCGTTCTCTGTCAGTCTTTTTAATGTGAAATCCTAATATAATATCTGACTTGAGTTTTTACTGAGCTTTTGAGATAGATTTGTGATGATACAGAAATGTGGAGAGTAGGGATCACTTAACACCGTTCCTTAGTACATATTCTGGCTAATGAAACCATTCTATTAGGAATGCAAAACCTTTCACCTGTCACCACATATAAATTGTCATTTTACCAAGGCAGGGCAGAGAAACAGTGCCAAAATTAGAAGAAACACAATTGAGGCTTCCCAGTAACTGCATATCAATTTATTTTTTTTAATCAAACAGTCTTCAGTAATGTCTAGAAGTTGGTGAAAACTGGGCTAATTAGTAGGAGGATCTTTTACAGTAACTTCCCACAACTATACCTTATTTTAAAAGAACTTTGAAAAGGGTTTAAAGTTTTAGTCTCAGTGTTACTTGGGCTTCTGCAGAACTTTTGTCTTTTCCTTTTAAATATTAAATATAATACAGTAATCCCACAATTATTTCTATTTGTTTAGATATCTTTTTTTCTTTGTTTCACACAGGGTTAAAAGCAATGGTGTCTCAAGGAGTGAAAAACCCCCTGATAGATTTAACAGCTTTGGAAGATAAATCCTTAGATGAAGTAAGTATAAGTATTTGGAGGAAAAAACATAAAACAAACAAAAGCTCCAAAGAAAACCATGCCCCCTCCTTAGTTTCATTTAAGGAGTAAATGGGTCCTTCTTTTAAAATATCTACAAATGCTAATTCTAAACCAAGTCACTTATTAGGCCATTGCATTGGTTAGGTACTCAACATCCCTGCTGTTGTATGTGTGTAAAGAAATGGACACTGTGCCCATGAACTTGTGTGCCTCACATCTGGCTTGGTGTGCAGGGTGCAAATGGAGAATTACTCTTCTACTTAGCTTTTTCATCTAAAGTGTACTCTTTGGGTTTTTTCTACCTTTTAGAAGCTGTGACAATGTACAGAAGAGTAGCACAAAAAAGGAAAAAGTCTGTGATTTGTTCTCACTTTGAACATTGCTATTAGTTTTGGCCTAATGTTAAGGACACTTTATACAGTTTTCTTAGTTTAGCCCTAAATACTTTTTTTTGATAAAAACATGATTTAACTTGAACTATTACCTGCATCCAAGTACAAGTTAAACCAATTTATATCAGTGGTGTAAAGATCTGCTTTTCTGCAGCTGATTTAACTGAAACTTTAAGTTGTAATTAATAATGTCACTGCAGTAGTTTTTTGGTTGTTTGGGGTTTTTTTCTTTTTTCTTTTCTTTTGTGTGAGACTTGTCCAAAGCTAACAGTCTGAAACCATGAGTTTAGGATAGGTGTGTTTGAAGTGCTCTGCAAACTGCCCTGGTTTGCTTTTGAGGCAGGTTAACTGCAAGCATGAAACTGCCCCTGGGGTAAAGTGAGTTGCCTTCAGCCACCTGGTAACTGAGGAACTCTGCCAACAGTAAGGCTTGAGGTTTCCTGAATTCCTGGTGGTATTACATCCTCCTGACAGATGTCATTTAGCCCATGGGCTGCTGCTGTCCCACTAGATGTTGAAAAGAGGTCAGTAAAACAATTGCTAGCTCTTCCTCGCCTGTGTTTTGTACAGGTGATCCTTAATATTTTTTTAAGCTAGTTCTGTTTTTACTTATAACAGGTCACAGTCTTATAAAATGATCTGTTTATCTTTTTTATTTTTTCTCTCTGACACCTCTAAATTGCCAAGCACTAAGAGAACAAAACAGTCAGTGGAGATTTTTCCAAGTACATAAGGTGATGGTGGGGCAAAGGTAGGAAAATGATGCTTCAGATGCTGATGCAGTATCACTGAGTGGAGTGCAGAGGAGGTGGCACGCAGACTTCCTGACTCAAGGGAAGACAGAATTGTCCTTCTCTGGGGGCAGAAGGTAATTAATGTTGTTCTCTTCGTAGGGCTATGGTGTTGCTTCTGTGGCCTCTACATCAAATGCCTCAAAGTCTGCTAGAGAAAGCAGCAATGCTGCCATCATAAAACGCTTTAATCATCATAGTGCCATGGTCCTTGCAGCTGGCCTCAGGAAACAGTAAGTTTCAGGGTTGTGTAAAAGCTTTTTGGTAACAAAGTTTAAGGAATTTCCAAAACAAAATTATGCCTTCCACAACTCATCCAACTTTCTCTTTTAATATTTATGAATTAATTATTTCTATCTAGAGACGAAAATACCTTTAGGTTCCATGTTACTTTACAGAAGTTTTTCAGAGCTCTTTGAAGTGACGAATGCTATTGTTAGCCATGTTAGCATATAAAGCAGATTCGAAAGCAAAGAATGTTTCCCCCTTAGATCTCTAGCCCTGGTGAACAGAATTAGTTTTCTGTTCACTGTGTGCAGGTGAGGGCTGGTGCAGGGAGTTCCTATTGCCTGCCAGCAGTGGGTCTACTGGGGCTTCCTGTGGTGGGGTGCAGGGACTTAAGTAAATGAGGAAGCAAAAGAACAGTGTGGCACAGGTGGATCCGATGAAAGATTCCTCTGATGCAGTACCCTGCCCCAACCAAAAACATGTGTTAGGTGGTTACATATGTTTACAGTGAACTTTGCAAATGAAACTTCTTAACAGAGGTACAAGATGTGTTTGATGTGATCTGCTCTGCAACTGGTTTATGGGCAACCGGCAAGGCATTACTGCTCTACCCAAATCCTACAGACCTTAACTGTGAGACATCTTAGTTAATACTTCCTTCTGGTAGCTGGGCTCCCTCATGTTGTTTTTCTGTCTTGCACAAACCAAACACTGGGCCTTAAACAATCTCTTCTGAGCACTGTGTGTTTCTATTTCTCAGTTCAGAAAGGGACAAAAGGATAGCTATCCTCCTGGGACAGTAGTATCTCAGGACTCCCAGAGCTCTGCTAATACCTGGTTGCATAAGAGCGTATACAAAGTGTTTCTAATTTAGCCATGATTTTGCTGTGTCCCACATGCACTGCTAGCATGCTACTATTTCTGAAGAGAGGGAGAAGCACTTTCCCCTGCTGTTGAATTTCCCTTGTGACAATCAGGGTTAATTTGAGGAATTGGTTCCTTCTATCTACATCAACTGCTAGAAACGAAGATATAAGGAGAAAAAGTTAACATACAGTATGTGAACATGTATATAAAGTTTTTGAAACAGATGTATTTACTTTGTCTCTAGCTTGTATCTTAAGTTTCCTGTGAGGTGAATTCTTCTTAATGCTGTTTCTCTATTTTAAGAGAAGCACAAAATGACCATTACAGTGAGACCAGCAGTACGGATGGAAACTCCAGGGATTCAGATTTCTTTCAGCCACCACTGAAAAAGGTATAAAGTCAGCTAATGCAATTCTGATTGAATGGAACTGGAAACTCTGTGTCTCATAGGATTGCTGAAAGTTCCTTACTTGTTTTATGACACATCTGAAGTGAAACCTCTTTAGCCCTGTTTAGAAGTATATAGAGTAAGTACCTGACAGCCTGTACCTCTGCTAGTACCACTGTTAGTAAACACAAATAAATTACACCTTGAAGTATTGCTCTGTTAATCTCTTCAGTAGTGCCCAGTGAAAGTAAAAAATTCCAACGTGCTTCTGATGGGACCCAGAAATCTAGTTATTTCTATTTGCTGCAGTTCTATTTTTGGCCTGCTCCCTTTTTTCCCCCCCCCCCAAATGCCTTAAAACTTCTAGAGAACATCCATCAGAAAGGGATATTGGTGTTCAAGCATCAATATTAGCCTGTCAAGCATGTTGTTTGTAGATGCTTAAACTGAATGATTAAACTGGAACATGGCAGGCTTCATCCTAAAGTCAGAAGCTGAAGTGAAGTTGAACTGAAAGTGTAGTTGATGCCTGGTGTACTGAAATACAGGGCAACAGCCTGGCTTAGACTAACTATAGCAGCTCACAAAGTGGAAGAGAGTACTGTAATTGCTACAAAATTGAAATGAACACTTCCTGGAGTTGACAGCCTAAACAGAAAATGCCAAAAGGACTCCAAACTTTGCTATATTGTGAGAAAATGTTGTAGAATACAGTATGTTGTTAAATGTTGGGATAGTCAACCACTTTGCCTTTCCCCAAAAGCTGCAGTTTTTACTGAGCACAGAAATGATATACCAGAACTAGAATAAACGTGATGAAAAGGGGAGTGAAAGAGTAGCAGGAGAGCAGGAGATTTCAAAAGCTGTTTTCTCACTGTACAAAGTCCGATATTGCTGTGCAGTTACCTCTCACCATTAATGCTCTGCCCTGCTGTCACTGGGTAGCTTTGGTAATTGCTGTGGTTTTAGTCTGATGCTCTTGTACAACAGCTATTAAATCATTACTATTTCTGCTAATCTGGAGTTAAATGGACATAAATATCAGAAGTCATTATCTATATAGCAGAACACTTTTTGGAAGTGGCAGGGACTGACAAGTTTTGACCAGAATCTGCAGAAAAGCAGTAGTGCCAAGACACCCAAATGGCACAATCTAAACAATATTGGGTTCTCTCTGGATGGTAGACATGAGTCATTCCACACTCTGGTTTTCTTTAAGATTTTAGTAACCCTTCTGCTCAAACTCAGTGAACTGGAAGAAAGCAGTAGATGTATGGAATTGTGTCTTCATTTGTAATGTGTATAATTTTTTGGCTTGTTTTAGGTGAAACTGCAGGAGGCCATTGAATACGAAGATTTATCAAAGAATAATGGCGTTAAAACTATTGCACTAAACTTAAAGAAGTCTGATAGGTGAGTTAAAATATGCACAGTTATTTCGGCATGGTTAGTCTAGCAGGTCTCTCATCACAGCCTGCACACAACCAGCTGATTTAGTCTCTACCACCCTTAAGCGTGTTTAGGCTAAGTTTAGAAACCTAATATGAGCTCTTGCATAAACCAGTTTCCAAGTAATTCCCTGTTAAATTTGTATTTTCATTTCACAGAGTGGTTGGGGTTGGAAGGGACCTCCTGAGATCATGTAGTCCCACCCTTCTGCTCAATTCCATCTTGCTTTTCAGAGTGTTGAGTCTCTGTAAGCCTCCCTGAATGCCTTTGACATGTAATTTCGGTGGAAGTCTAACAGACCTCCGCTCACAGTTCAGCACTTTGCTACAGCTTTCAATGGAAAAATGTACGTGTTACATGTGCAAATATATACGATTCCAGGGAAGTTCCACTCCCGGGCAAAAAAGCGCAATCAGGATAGTTTGGACTGCTCACTGGTCTTGGATTTTTCTAGTAGTAGTCCTCTTGTTTCCTAAACAAGAGTCTGAGAACCAAGATGTAACTTCAGAAAAGGAGTGATACTACAGGAAAGAGAACAGTTCCAAATGTGCACCTAACTTCATTTAGCTCAGTGTCAGTTGTAAGTGATGTGAATTGCTGCACTTTAAGGATATTCCCAGAATTAGGTGGCACAGGTAGATTTTCATTAGCAAAATGATGATCACAGATTCAACAATGGAAGCTCTTATTTTGCTGCCATACCATCCCTAACCCAACCTCTTTCCACATGGCAATGTATTGTACTTTGACAGTACTATCTAAACCTTATTTACTGATAACAGTTACAAAGTATCTAAAATTAGAAACATTAGAAGAACTGAGTTTGGTGTCTTGCTTTACCAACACTCTTATTAATGCACTTTTTCCTTTTCTCACTACACAGGTATTATCATGGTCCAACTCCAATTCAATCACAGCAATATGCAACCAGTCAGGATATAATTAATTCTTTTAATAGTATTAGACAAGAAATGGAAGCATATGTACCTAAACTAACTCAGGTATGGAAGAATACAAAAAAAAGTTTCCCTGTTGATGTTGGCATCTTGCTTTCTGTATAGGTTTGTGTCTCACGTGTACTGGAATTCTAATTTTTCAGGGTAAACTTAAATTATCTCCAGTAGTTTTATGTTACCTGATTTAGTTTTTGAGCTATCATGTTTAAGATCTACGCAGTAGGAAACTGAGTCATTGCTGATGCTCAGTTATATTCTACTGTTCCTGCTTTCTTTTGAGGAAATGGCAAAGGTATGAGGTAGTAAAGCAGGACAGTCATGCACAGGCCAGTGTATTGATCCCACCCTCTGAAGTTTAGGATGTAATAGTCTTAGAAGGTTATAGTGAGCAGGTTTGTAAGTGAACTGGTCGCTTGCTCCTAAATGCACTTGGTAGGCTATTGATCTCACCCTGGGCTGCACAGAAGCTGTGTCCTGGCACCTGGAGGGCAGCACAGCCCTGTGGCCAATCTCCTCAGCCAGTGTCTGAACTTCCTCCATTAGTAAAGCAGCCACAACTGTGAATGTGTCACCCTTCTGTACAATAACTCTGTCTCACCTCAAAGTAGCTGCACAGCCTGTTCCAGTCCTAGGTAAAGAAAGGGTTTGGTTTTTTTCATAATTAATTGGAGAGCTTTCACTGCAAATGAGTATAGCACTTAAAGGCACTGTGACTAATTCTGGAGAAGAGCTGACTGTTTGCCTGAGCTTCCACTGTATCTGTTCAACCAATCTTTGCCATTGGGGTTCAAATAGAACTTAGTTTAAAAAGATTTTTTTGGAAAACATGAGCTGAAATATTTGTTCCCTCTCCCTTCAGGTTCTTTCAAGTGGTGATGCTGCCAGCACTATTGCAGTCCTGTCACCTGGAGGAGCACTTATGCAGGGTGGAACACAGCAAGCCATAAACCGTAAGGATTTAGGATGTCTAATACTTTAATAGTATCTTATTGCATTGCACAGCAGTAGCTGGCTTGCTGTTTCATCTCTCTCTTGGAATGTGTTACAGTGATAAAGGAAATTATGGAAATGTGTAGCTGGAGTAGTACCGGGTTACAACAAAAAAAGGAAAGCAACAACCCAGCCAACACCATGAGGGTGGTACTGGCTACACCAGTGCTGAGGCAAGTGAGCAAGAGGAAAATTTTACAGAGCAAGTAATGAAGGATGCATTTGATAGATACTAAGTCCTCTTACAGATACTGGGTTTTACTTGTTCAGCATTTCTTTTCTGATATTTTTTTTTTCTGGATTGTAGAAAATGCAGGCATACCCTGAAAGCTCTAAGGAAGCAAGGTCTAGATCATTGTCTGAAACTAGGTTTTTTGCAACCTGATTTTAAGATCCACAGCTTGCTGTGAAAAAAGGCAACTTGAAGACTGCAAGGGCAAATCAGACAACCTCTCCTTCTCACACCTCCATGCAAGCACCCCTTTCCCTGTTGTCACATTCCTGCCAGTCTGAGTTCCTGTCTCTGTAGTCTGACAGCAGATGAAACTCTGTTCTCAAGATTTATAATAGTTTTCCAGTTTATCTTGTGTTACTTGCTCTGAAAAGCAACAGAAACTAAATCGGACAGCTGAAAAAGCAAGTATGAGTTCTTTATGGTAGGGAAAGAAAAGGAATCAGCAAGCAGTGGTGAGGCTTTCTGCCCATCCCAGTTGACATTCTGGGTGCTCACTTTGAGCCTGACCACCACTTTTTTTTTTTTTTTTAAAACAACCTCATCCTAGAGTTTGCTCTTCACTGTTCAGTTCAGTGTGCTCCTCCTCATCCTCAGTGATTGCTTGTGCTTTTTGTTTGGGTCTTCATGGTTGTGGTTCCTTCCTTGTTCTTGAACCCTGTCGCCCTTTCTTCTTTAAGAGTACCTGGGATACAGTTCCTTTTTCCTGTCTGGATTTTTCATTTTCCACACACTGTGACCATATTCTCATTGCCAATGTAAGATAGAGGGAAAAATTTGCTGTATGCACCACACAGTACTTAGCACAGTGCTGTGAGCGCAAGGTGCTGGTCCTGGAAGCAGTACTACCACACTGTTAGAACAATACAAATATACTACTTCTAATCCTGGGTTAAGGTTTGGTGTCCATTCTTTGCCTGGCATGGATCTCCCTGTGTAGCACACAAGCTTCCAAGTATAGAGCCATAAATAGCAGCTGAACCTGATCTAATAACTGCCAGTAGTCCTGATCTAAGAGCTGCTGAGGGATGAGGCACCTCGGTGTTCCCTGCTGGCCAACCTTTCTTTGATTCTAGTGGGAACATACATTGCTGACCTCCTTCATTAGCCGTAATTCTCACTTTTCATAAGACAGTTTGGAGTGATGTGACAAAACCTTTTTCCTGTTGCAGAGATGGTGCCAAATGACATTCAGTCTGAACTAAAACACTTGTACGTGGCAGTAGGGGAACTGCTACGACACTTCTGGTCCTGCTTCCCTGTTAACACGCCATTCCTAGAAGAAAAGGTAAGGCGGAGCTTCCTAGCGTGGCCCTGGTTAGGATGTGGCCAGATCATGGTTTAGAATGACTGTCATTATTGAAATATAGAATTAATACATGTGCCTTAAATCACTGCAGCTTTTACTCATCCCTAAAACTGAAGGTCACAAAACAATGCAAAACATTAAGTTTTTCAGTAATTCTGCTGATGCTGTTTAGTTAAAATCACCCTTGTTCCTGCCTCCCTGTTAGCTGCCTTTGGAGCAGTTGCTGTAAGCCAGTTTCAAGCAGATTGGTCAGCTCTCTTGCAGCTGCAGCGTTCTCATTCCAGTTTAAAACACAGAAACAAAAGCCTCTCTCCCCTAACTCCAAGAAATAACCTTTGTAGTGACAGTTACAAGCAAGTTTTCCTTATTCTTCTATCCATTGCAAAAATCACTGTCATACCTTCAGAACACACACTGCTTTTCAGAACTAAGGTGCAGACAAGAAGAGATGTCTGTCTACAGCCAGGTATATATGTATTCTTTCTTTTGACCTCACACGGAAAACAAAGATAAAAATTTGCATTCAGGTATTTTTGTATGTCTGCTGCAAAACGTGGCCTGAAAGTCCATGCTACAGTCTTTGCTTGAAGCAAAAAAAGATGTTTTTATGAATAGCTTTATCTATATTTAGTGTTAACTGATGGAGTAGTAACGATCAGAGTGCCACACTGCACTTGCCTCAAAAATAGATATGCACTCAAGAAGTGTTAGAGACTGATATTTGAATAACTGTTCTTTCTTAAGCTACTCATACCTGAATTAGCCCCCCGAATTAGTTACAAGGTGTTCTGTTGGAGAACAATTTGTTAAAGGAAATGAAACTTATGTGTTGTTACAATACTTCTGTATTATAATACTGGTTTCTGTCTTTCTCAGGTTGTGAAAATGAGGAGCAACTTGGAAAGATTTCAGGTTACAAAGCTCTGCCCATTCCAAGAAAAGATTCGGAGACAGTATTTAAGCACAAATGTAAGGGGAAAGTACTGTTTAATTATGTGGGTGCATACTAATAATTTCAATCTTAACTATTAAGGATGGTAGCTTTGTTATTTTCTATTCTAGGGCATTCTGAGTTTTTTGTTAACTAGGAAATGGGCAGAGGGAAATTAGGTACACAGTTAAGCATGTTGTCTCTCCCCATCTAACTTGCTGAGTGATGCCAGCAAGTGTCAAGAACTATAAGGTGAAATTACTCAAGTGAGACAACAGAAAGGTGAAGTCATGTTTCATTTTCCACTTCCACCATGAAGTAGAACTCGAGCAACTTCAGACTGTCTCCCACCATGTCAGACATGAAGTGGTTGCAGACCAAATAGTGGAACAGACAGCATAATCAGGTGGCACTTCCCTGTGACCTTACCAGCTTAGCAGCTCTCTGCACTGCTCCCTCTGTGGATACTTTGCAATAGAGCCTTTCTCTGACGCACCTCTGATTTTAGTGAGGTTACTTGTAGTGAATAAAAGAAGAATCCAACTGATTAGCAAAGGAAGGGGAGGGGATCTGTTTTTCCAGTAGCTAGGACAATTTCTCTCCCTCTTAAATGTTTCAGTTGGTAGGCCATATAGAGGAGATGCTGCAGACGGCCTACAACAAGTTCCACACGTGGCAGTCCCGGCGCATGCTGAAGAAGACGTGAAGGCGCACGCTGTACAGGTCTGAGAGCAAAGCCTGCAATAGGGTAGGAGTACAGCCTAGGTATGTCCAGATCAACTTAGAGTTCTTGCAGGAAGACCTGCAAGCTGTGGACTTCTGGAAACGATGCTAACTGAACTTGCACATTTTTGAAAAAGAACTGAAAAAAAACTTGAAAACTAGGGAGAAAAACAAGGAAGAACCAAAACAGAAGAGCCGAGGCGCAAAAATATTTAAAAGACACTGTTTACTGCAGTTACTCAGGAACTGCTTTTGATTTGCATAAAGAGCTGCTTTCAGAAATAAAAAATTTAAAGAGGGTGTATTAATAAAATTTGTTTTACTGTCTAATTTTTTTTTAAGAAGTGTATGGCACAGGGTAGATCTCAAAAGTTTTTCTTCACTGGATTCTGACATTTTATTGAATTGTTTGTACTTTCTGCAACAGTTTAACAATGGTATCTTAAAACATAGCTGAGACTGTTTTTGCTTTAAACATCTGGGAGAGTATAGCTGTCAGAAGACAAGCTCCTGCCATATGTTTCCCCACCAGTTGGAAGCAAGAGGCATTGCACTGAAAGTTGTTCATGGTCTGGGGTCCCTAAAGGTACATGGGGGCAAACTTTTGCCTGAAGTCTTGGATTTTTATGCAGAATTTTTTCAGCCATCAGTTTTGCATGTTTTCCTTTGAGTGCAAGTGTGTGCTACTGCAATCCTTTTTTTTTTTTAATGGTGGCATTTGTTCTGAGGAGAGAATGCATTTTTAAAAATGACATTAAATAAAGTTTCTTACAAAAGAAGTCATTTATTTTCAATTCTTAGGCATTTTTTTATTTCTTCTCCTAAATCTGTTTTCCTTCATTCTTCCCTTTTGACTATTATACTGTTTTTGGCGAATTGATAATCATTGCAAAGAGAAAAATATGTTATCACAATGTCCATAGATGTTGGGAATCTGTGCCATACTTTGTTCCAAATAGAATCAGTTCACAGTTTCAGACCAACTTGTCTTGTATTAAATGTGACTTTAAATGCAAAGTAACCCCCTTTTCTAGAATATATGCAGTTTAATGCCATCCTTTTATTTTTTTTGTCACCTTGACTGTACTAAAGCCCAGTATGGGCTACTGAACTTTTTTACTTAAGACTAAGCGTGACTGTTAAAAATGCATCTACTACAAAGACAAATCAGAGCGACAATATGTATTCAAAGCAAGCACAGCAGTGTTCAGTACAGCAGAAGAAATTCCCATTAGCCTGCATGATGGCTTAATGGCTATGTTTTGGTATGATGCTAAAATATGATAGTATGATGTTGGGTGGATAATTCTTGCAAATTCCTACAGAAGATGTATTGGTGTAGCCAAGTTGGTGCTTGTTCTGTGCTGCTGCTCCATTTATGCAAGAGGGGTTTTTTCTTTCACTGGTGTGTGGAAGTCAGCAGCTTCTTTTTACCCTTTTTTGCTTTCAGATTTTTGTATTATGCTATAATATTTTGGTAAAAGCTGAGTTTCAGTTAAATGCCACTGTCTGCACCAAAGTTCTGTTTGGAAATGTGTGCATATTGTTCAGCCTAGTTCCCTGTCTGCCTTTGCAGATTGATGCATGATCCCTGCTCTGTGCTGTTGATGTGGTTCTGCTACAAGAAATGACTGGACTCAACATGAGGTGCCCCTTGTTCTTGACAGGGTGGAAATGTCACTAGGAACAAACAGATGTACGTACAACATTTGGGGGATGAGGTGCACATCTTACCAAGAGTTACCTCTCGTGATAACTAAACTATTTCTCTAAAATTTAGGCTTAGGGGTACGGCTTTATTAAGCCAAATCCTCTTAGGTGCAGGCAGCTCCAGAAAGAAAGGGTAGTTTGTTCTCCCCCGATCCAAAGCATTTGATCTAGGAATTCTGTGACCAAATTTCAGCTGTTTTGTGAAAGCTAACACACCTTTCATCATATCAGGGCTAGGGTCAAGAAAACCTAAAATGTCTGATTTAAATTCTAACTGTGCCTGAAGCTATGAACAACGCATTTAAGTATTAGACTGCACTGAGACTTCACTAAAAAATGTATGGGACAGTTTTGAACATGGAACTAATTCACCTTTAATTGGAGTCAGTATTTAGTGTTCCTGGAAAGGCTGGGCAAAATGGTTAGCATGGTGGAAAAGTTTCAGTGCATCACAAGAACATTTTACAGTCCAGAGGACTGTCGTTTATAACCATTTCGGGGATGGTGTTGCAATAGCTTTAAGTTACTGTAGTGATATCAGGCTATCAAAATGTACCTTAATTAACAGAACTAGGGGGGAAGAGGACTATGATACAACAGTTTTGCCTAGAGACTGTACAGGCAAGGCTGCTATGCACTTCATATTGCTTTTTCAGGTATTGTGGCAATAAGGCACAGGCCCCTCCTCAAGTAAAGGGAGGTAAACTAAATATTCTTTCTACGTTATGTTCCCCTTTTCTGTAGCATGGTCCAAAACACAGATTAATTCCTTGAGTTTTGAAACTGAATCATCATGCATTATATTACTATTGGAATCTTTATACTGACTTGTATTTTTAATGAGAATTCATAAAACTTGTATCATTGGCATTGATCTAAGATTTGTAGAATAAACCCTACTGAATTCTAAAGTGAAGTCTTCTCTAATGCTTAGGCTGTGTTTTCTGATGTTGAATTAAATCCCAAACAGGCTCCACTCAGGTCTAAATTGAGAGAACCGTGTATAAATAGCCCAGCTGTCCCTTCATGCTGGTAGAAGCAGTCAGGAGCAAAAGGGTTACATTACAATTACTATCAAATTGTTTCATTTTTAAGGGTTGAGAATTTCTTCTGCCACACAAGGAATCTGTACCATTGCCAGTGCTACTGTCCCTCTGTTCCTCATCATACAAAATCCAGTCTAAGTCTCCAGGGATTACTATTCTGCCTGTTCCATATATTGATGTAGCAGCTGTTGGTTCAGGAGAGCTGCACAGGAGCATTGTCAGCCATTTTAATCCAAGGTTCACTAGTAATGGAGAAAGGATAATTTAAAGCAGACAGCGGCCCTGCTTATTTGTAGCCTGTGAATTTCAGCAGATGAAAGTCCTTAGGTGCACCACAAAAAATGCTAGGCTAGTCACCTCTCAAGAGCTCTGCCCCAGTCAGGGCTAGGAGGCAGCACCCTTTCACTGCAGTCACTTCTACAAGTAGTTTCTTACATGCTCACAGAGTAGCCCTCTAGACTAAGATCTGCAGCTTCCTAATGTGACAAAACTGTGGCCAAGGCCCTGCTGTGCTTTCCCAAATTGATAACTTTCCCCAGCACTCCTTTGTTTAAGATGCCTTTTTTACAGCTACAACGATTTTCCCTTATTTATACTGTAACTACATTCTTACAACTTCTATCATGACATGTTATTAGCTAGAAACCTTCCTTTATCCTTGCCAAAACTCCTATCAAACAGCTGCTTTGTCCAGAAAGTCACTTGTGTGAGCAGGGGAGGTGACAAGAAGAAAGCTTAAGACACGGTTTTCCATTATCCTTAAGGGAAGAGCCTACCCAAGCATCCCTGCAGCTTTGCAGACATTGTATTGCAAGACCATTTCAGAGTGTGAGCCATGACATTCTGAACTTGTTTCTATGCTCTCCCTTGCCCTGCAGCAAGAGCTGGAGCTCAATCCAAATGGAACACAGTAACTTTGGTATGAATAGTGATCAGGCATCACCGGGATCTAATGCTCATCCTGCATAAACCCTCTTAGCCAGAGACAGCTGTGCTCCTGCAGCACAGCTCCAAAGCCTGAGGAACCGCTAAATTACCTAACCCAATCTCCCGCATCTTTTTCAGGACACTGCATTTTCCCTCAGCTCTTGGAACACACCTCCCCAAAAGATGGGCAAACCCTTGTCCTAATTTGTTAACATCCCAGATGGAGGGTACTGTATCAGGGCTCCTTTGGGCTGGAAGGAACCAGACCCTAAGGTGTGAGCGTGGCTGACTTGGCTGAAGGAGTGTTGTGGCCAAGGGCATTGTGCCTGCCAGAGGTCACGGACCAGAGCTCAGCCCCTCCCTGTGCCCAGCACTGTGCAGAGAGCACCCCATGGGCACCCCAGCACACTCACCCAGGGAGCTCCCTACACTTGCACCCTGCTTCCCTCCAGCCCACACGGTGCCAGCTCACCTTTGTTCTGCTCTCCAGGCAGCTTTAGGATCGCAGCCGGGTGGCAGAGTGCCACCATGGTGATGTGAAACGCGCCTTCAGGAACGCAGCTGGAGCTCCTTGCTAGCAGTTTCCCAGCCCACATGCCCTCAGCTGCCGTGTTTCCTCCACAAGGAACATTTCCATCCCCTGCAAAACCTGGCAGCCCTCTGGTCTTCTTCCCCTAATAAAAGTCCATATGCTCTTCATCGTGAAAAAGCCAAACTACTACAGTGGTTCAGGTGCCAGCATATCCCCAAGGAAAACCTGTCCTGGACTTAGACCCTGTCCTCCCTGCATGCTAAGGTCCTGTTGCTTTATTGTCTCACCCACAGCCCTCACAAACCACAAGTTTAATCTGAACCTTTGGAAGGCAGCCTCCACCCTCCCCCCAAACCTTGACGCAGTTTTGTTCTTTAGAGTGTCACCATCCACACAGCCTCACTCCATTCCCTTCCAACCCAAGTTCACTCACAGGCACATAATGGCAAACCATCACTTTATTAGAATTACTGCACCCAGCAGGAGTAGCCACAAGCACTGCTGGCATCCCCCACTTCCTTGCACCACCCTCCTTGAGTGAGCTCCTGCCCTTAGTGCTCACTCACAGGACTGCCCATCACCTCTTTGCACAGTGCTGTCTCCTCCACACTTGGACACCCTGCCCAAGCAACTCATAGCCTGGGAATTCCAGATCCCTTCTGTAAAACCTCCCCAGGACTCGACTGCCCACACAATCTACATGGACTCACAGCTGTGCATTTCATACCCTAAATCCTAAGGGAAGGTGTTGTCCTGCTCTTGGCAGCACTCTCATCCTCCCCTTCCTACCCTGCAACTACCTGTCTGCATCACCTCAGCAGGACTCCAATTGCAAGTTCCAGAGAAAAGAGGGAAGCATTGGAGCATACCCAAGCTGAAGCTTCTGTTAAAAAGACATGTCCCGAGCACTTTGGAAGTTGGCCAGAGGTGACCAGACATTCCAGGGCAGGGACTGCCTCTGTCCAGGTACTGCACAGGGAGTGTTGGCCTCAGGTGGGACTTCCAGCCTGTCGTGTGAATCGCCAGCAGTACGTTCACTTCCTCCTTATCTCTCACCTGCAGCCTCTCCACCTACAGGTGACAGGCTGATCCAGATAAAAGAGCGTTGATAATAAATTTGACATATCACATGTCCCGTGATCGGAATTGACAATCAGATGCAACAGCCCCACAATAGCCACTTCCCTGTAAGCACTGCCCCCGTTTCTACCTTTGCCCTACTCTGCAGATAGTACGTTAAGGAAATAAATGCCGAGTTGTAAAGCCACGTGCTTCCTAAGTGACAACCCCCGAGCACCGGCACGGCTCACCAGCCTGTACCTGTGCAGGCACCACGCTCCCCTCAGCTTCCGGCCACGAGCTGGTCATGAAGGGAAAGAGCAGCAGTGAGGGACACGGAGGAACACTGGCATCAGGTTGGCTGGCTCTGCAAGGTGTGACTCAGCAGGGCAAAGACTGCCCGGCCAGAACCAGTCAGATATCGCTGTTCTGCACAAACAGGCCACACGAGTCACATCGCTATGAAAACCGCTCCACAGCAGCACAGCACGGGCACCTGGGGGCCCTCAGCGAGCTGTGTAGGGAGATGTTATGGCACCAGAAGGAGAATGCTTCCCTTGGCCCTGCAGCACTCAGGAAATTACACCCTCACAGGCTTTCTGCCTTACTCACCCTTCAGACAGACAAACTGCTCCATAAAACCTGGCTTGTGCAGGCAGGGTGTCCTGCCATGATTCCAAAACAACAGGAATTTCTGGAGTATGCTGTTAACCTAACACATCAAATATTGTAACTTGAATACAAGGAACCAGCTGACTACTTGAAAATGGTGGAATTAAGATGACTGAGATCTCATTAATAATTTAAGGAGTCACAGCAAAGGCCAACTACCAAACTAGGAGTGCCCATTGAAGACCACCTATAAGGAATAAACCCACTCAAACTCCCAGGCTCATCTGTTTCAATAGCATCTCTTCTATCTAAGAGGAAAAGGAGACCTCCAGTTTTACATGCCGAGTACCTGAGCCTGACACTCTTCTGTACGGGACAGATGTGGACAGCAAGGGGGCAGTTATGAGGAAAGAGAGGACAGGGACAGGAAAGAAGAAGTTCAGCTGGACTCCAAAAGCACTTTAGGGGTCCTGCCATAATTTAGAATTTACAATGATCAAAACACACTGGGAGCTATGGAAAACTCAGGAGAGATCAGATACTCTTTCCAGCCTAACTCCAGGCTCACTCCAGTTCACCAAAATGCCATTTTTGCCCCCATCAAATTCCTGTCACTAGCTCCCAAACTGGCTTATGCTGTTTTACAGCAGAGAGTGGAGTGGTTCTTTAGGGACTTTGGTTTTGGACAGGGATCCTGGGTGCTGCAGCAATGGAAGAGCTTTTCTCAATAGCTTGCCACTCCCTTGGGCACAGCTCCTCAACAACAAAACAAAAGCAAACAACAGTCCAAAGATGAACACAGAGGCTACTAACAGATTTTGGGATGACCATTCTGAGGTGATAACCGCTGCTTTATGCTGAGCAAACACAAACGCTGCCATAGTAAACCAGAACAAGAACCACTGTCAGAGCTGTGAACCAGCCCTATCCAGCTAAAGTATTCAGGATTGCTATCCAGCCATCTAAGATCCTTTTTACCCAGGGGCAGCAATTTTTCCTGGGGGGGAAGGAAATCCCTCTTCTTCATCATGCCCCTACCAGTAAGCCCTTCATGTCACAATTTCTAGATCTCACATCACAAGACTGACAATCCTTTTTAGTTCTAGAAAGGGGGATGATCCCAGGTCACAGCCAGGCCAAGGTATTCCTATCTGGAAAGCAGACAGATTGCCATCAGTTTCATGGGTGCTGATCTCTCTCCCTCATGTGGAGAGACTCCCACGACAGCAGCTTCAAACCTCACTCTGCAGCCACATCACTGAGAGCCTGACTTGGTGCCAAGCACGTTGGGAGCAAAAAACAAACCACCCCCTGAAAAACAGTGTCCGTTCCCTTACCAGCTCCAAATTCACCAGTGCTAGCCATTTGCAGCCCCTGGTTGGACAAGTACTGTGGCAGACATCTAGGCAGGGACATCTAGTTCTTTGCTCTATCAGTAAAGGGAAATAGCTGCTTTGTTAACCCTCTGCTCCCCCTCTCACCTCCCTTCACCCCATCCTGCGGAAGCAGCTGCCTTTTGTGGGACAGAGATGGGAACATGGTCTCAGAGCTACCATCCATGGAGGAACCATGAGGCTGGACAAGTGCCTTGGCAGCATGGCTGGCAGAGCCTGGTCTTGATCCCTAACTCCCACTCCCGTTTAGTTTGGGCAGCCTGGTTTGAGGCCACTTTCCCACACAGACTTGCACTCTCCCTGAGAGCTTCCTGTTATGCCCAAGCTGGGTGAGAGACAGGACAGC